TTTATAAAAAAAAAAAAAATTAAAAAAGTGAGAAAAAAAAAAAAAAAAAAAAAAAAAAAAACCAAAAAAAAAACACCCAGTCCACATTACTTTGTATAAAAAATATAAACTCCTTTATTATGTTCATATTTCACACACCAGGGCATTAAATGTAAAACAAAACAAAACACAAAAGAAAAGAAAAGACTGTATTTTAACTTTGAAGACCTGTCAATCAGAGATTTGAAAACTGGCCGACCAGAAATCTTTTTGTGGAAATAAGAATACATGTTTTCACTGGTCTCTTTTGTTAATAGGGTTATAAAAATTTATACTCTGAGCCAGCTCTCTAGTAGAGTGGAAATGATTACTTAATACAAGCTAGATCCCATGGTTCAAATATCTGTTGACCTGAAATATACCAGGCATGCAGGTGCGTACCCAGAATCTGACTGGCGAGAGGACTAGAAGAAGGTGATCCTGGCATGAGCAGACCCTATGAAGAGTGCTCAGCTCACTATTTCTCTTACCTCATTCATTTTCATTAACATGTATGCATGCACATACTGTATCATGAAGGAAAAAAAGAAATTAAAAAAAAAAAAAAAAAAAGGCTGGATCCAACATGGCCAACTACGGGGTGAGAGTCCAGGACACAGTGGCTTTGAAAAAACACACTAGGCTTCTGTGTGCACAAACACACACCTGAAATTATGAAAGGAGAGATGAAAGAGAAGGAAATTCACTTTCTCTCCAGCAAGTGCATGTACCCTCTAGCAAAATTTAAAAAGATTCGGGGCCAGCAGTTAGCATAATGGCTATGTCGCTGGACTCCCATGTAGTCGACCGCAGTTCACGTCCTGGACCCGGTGACTTAAACTCATGCTGGGCACATGTGCGTGCGTGCCCAAGATCCCGAGAGGAGAATGGAGGAGAAGGGATTGCGGCGTGGCCATCCCCCCTGGGGGGTGATTTCTTGCTTTCTGTCTCTCTGTCTGTCTGGTGAGTGCACGTGCCCTATAGCAAAACCTCCCCACAAAAAAAAAAAAAAAAAAAAAAAATTCCCACTCTCAGGCCAGGAGGTGGCATAGTGGTTAAGGGTGCTGGACTCCCACAGGGCAGACTGTGGTTCAAGTCCTGGACTTGGTGGCTTGCTTTCTTGCTTTCCCTCACTCTCTCACTCTGTCCCTCTCTGGTCAATTAAAAAATAAAAAAAGAAAATTAAATAAAATCATTCTTAAAAAAACATTTCCCACTCTCATTTTTAATTCTTATAATACTGCAGTTACTATAAAATATACTCTTTATTACCTGTTTATGTACTTTAGTAAGCTGTTCAAGATTATTTTCAAGAAAGGAGATTTTTTGCTTCTGAGCAGCACTGCCTCCAGTGTCATCTGAATCGATCTCTGCGCTCTGGAAGGAAAAACCAAAAGGTGGATATTATGAAAATTTTTTTAAAATCTGAGCTAACTACACAAAAATGTGACAATGTAAATTATTTTACCTGTGAATATAAAGAATGACACACAGCATCATTTATATAAACACCCACCTTGGTATCATCACATTACCTTTTTAACTCTGGTAGCCAAGTCTTGAACAAAGAGCTTACGCAGGTTGTGTAAAGTCTGAAGCTCTTTTGCCTTGAATTAAGAAAAGTATTTTTAAATTGAAACTTCAAATTCAGGATAATCAGGGACAAAAGTACTAATACTGCACAATTTGAATTTATTTCCATGTTTTTCTTACCACTGTCTCTTCTAGACCCTTCAAGTCTTGTCTCGCTTGTTCTCGTCTATCTTGCATAACCCTGGCAGTGAGAGAACAGATGTATTATTTTCATTCCATAAGATTCTTTCTTTTAGTTTAAACACTGAATCTGATATTTTATAATCAGAAAAGATAAATTTTTAGGTTTAAATGAATGAAAGATGCTTATTTTAAACAATACTACATGCTTTGTCTTCCAAAGAAATTTTTATTTATATGCATTATACAGCAATATAACCATCTCAATCTATAGTTTAAGAAAAAACCTTCCTCATACACTTACAGAAAATATCAAATAAGATGTGACAGAATCCAAAGAATAAGGAATGGTTCCAGTCTATATCTTACAATATGCCACATATAGGGATCAGCAGATGGCGTAATGGTTATGTTGCTGGACTCCCACATAGCTAACTGCGGTTCAAGTCCTGGATCTGGTGGCTTAAAATTCATGCCTGACGTGTGTGTGTGTGCACCCAAAATCCTGAGAGGAGAATGGAGAAGGGATTGTAGTGTGGCCATCCTCCCTGGGGGTGATTTCTCACTCCTACAGTAAAATCTCCCTTAAAAGAAAAAAACAGCCACATAGTATAATACTATGTATCGAAATGATACTGATTAACTGGGTATTACAGAGGTTACAAATTTTATAGTAAAATTATTATACATAAAATTATAACTGCAATCAAGTAGAATTTTTATAAAATTAACTAACTGTGATCTGGTCCTGATGTTGTATCCATACTAACAATAACAGTTAATTTGTCAACTGTCTCAAACTAATTCAAGAAAAAATTATAATCATAAAGTTTCTACCTGCTCAAATTCTAGAAAGCTCTTGAAATTTCTCAGTAAATGAACTAGACTCCCATGGAGTCGACCGTGGTTCAAGTCCCAGATTGGTGGCTTAAAACTCAAGCTGGGTGAATGCCCAAAATCCTGAGATGAAAATAGAGAAGAAGGGATTGCAGCGTGGCCAGCTCCCCGGGGGGCGGGGGGGGGATTTCTCGCTTTCTGTCTCTCTGCTTCTCTTTGTCTGTTGGCAAGCTCACATGCCCTATACCAAAACTCTCTCTTAAAAAAAAAGAAAAATAAATGGCAAGGCTAAAATACTGTTCTCTATGCAAAATAAAATTTGACAAAAATTCTTTTTTTATTTTGTGGGAGATCCTGAAATTTTTTAGTACTTAATGTAATGTTTAAGCTTCATTTTTATAATGGATTCTGAAGTAATCTGAAGAGAAACAGCAATGTGAAAAACAACAGTCTACATCTTAACCACCTATAAAAACATTGGGTCATTGGAAAAGCTATGTTCTATGCATCATGACTTTTCCAACAACCTATTATAACATCTTGTTTCCATTAAAATATTCAATGCAAACATACACTTTCATTTTTAGAGAGATCAAACCAACTTAGAGGATTTAAAAACAATACCCTTTAGTCCATACAAAGTGAAAAATGTAGCCACTGGACAATTCAAGGGCAATACTTGCAATCCTCTCTTTTTAAGTTTTAAGAGAGTTACTCACGTAAGTTCATGCAATTTTCTGCTCTTCTCCTGATCTGTAGCTTTCAATTTCTCATGTTCTACTCTTAGACGTTCCTGCTCTAACATCATTTTCTGATTTTGGCTGACAAAAGGAAAAAAAAATAACACAACATCAAAATCACAGTTTTCTAAATGTTGACATTAAAAATTTTCAGACTCTTAAATTCTATCACTTCACCAATACATAAGTCCTTTCTTTCCCTTACAAAGGGGAAAGGGGCCACCTATCTACTGTAGCCATACAACACTTTTCCTATTTTGTGCTAAAATCAAGATTTGATTTAGCCCTGTCTTACATCTCCCTGAATCCTTACACTCACCTCCCATTAGGTATTAAGAAGACTCATGTCCCAAACTTCAGCATCGTTTTATCACTCTTTTGTGGTTCCTACTCAAATTACTGCAGCTCTTTGATTTCTATAAATTCCAAGCATGTGCACATAGTATAAAAGTAGGAAAAATGTCTTTTAAATAAAGATAATGACTTCTTAAAATAAAACACACACATTTTAAAATACCGTTTTTTGCAGCTTTTTTTTTTTTTAAAAGAATTAATTTTTTTAACTTTATTTATTTTAATTTGACCAGAGAGGGACAGAGTGACAGAGAGAAAGTGAGAAATCAAGTAATCAGGTCCAGGACTTGAACCACGGTCGGCCATGTGGGAGTCCATCACCCTGAGCCACCATATCACCTGCCAGCCTCTTAAAATACTTTCCAATATTGGGACCAGCAGTTAGCGTAATGGCTATGTCGCTGGACTCCCATGTAGTCGACCATGGTTTGCGTCCTGGATCTGGTGGCTTAAAACTCACACTGGGTGCATGTGCATGCGTGCCCAAGATGAGAATGGAAAAGGGATTGTGGCGTGGCCATCCCCCCTGGGGAGTGATTTCTCGCTTTCTATCTTTCTGCCTGTCTGGCGAGTGCACGCGCCCTATAGTAAAAACCTCTCCAAAATAAATAAATAAATAATAAAAACCTTCCAATATATGGAATAATTGGAAAAGTCACGATACATTGTTGTGTAGAAAAATACATCATTGACTTTTTTGATAATTTTTCTCAGTTAAGAATTTTGGTGGAACTGGCTCTATAACCCAATGGTTAAGTGCTACACATAGAGCCAGATCCCACAGGGCCAACCGGCGTTAAAATCTTGGCTAAATTTAGCAGCTTGAAAAACACAAGAGTCACATGCATGTTTGTACCCGAAAGCCTGAAGGGATGAAGAAAGATGAAAAAAGGATTGTGGCATGACTGTACTCCACTGCAGTCCCCTCTACGGCCAGCATACATGCACGGATATTCTCTGGTAATTAAAAACAATTAATAATGATGATGTTGTTGGGGATTAGGAGGCACAATGGTGGTTAAGGTGCTGGCTTCTCACACGGTCAACCATAGTTCAAGTCCTGGACCTGGAAGCTTCAAAATCATGCCAGGTATGGGACCAGCTGTTGGTGTAAAGGCTATGTCAATGGACTCCTACGCAGTCAACCACAGTTTGAGTCCTGGACCCGGTGGCTTAAATTCATGCTGGGTGCATGTGCGTGTGTCCCCAAGATCCCATTGAGGAGAATGGAAGAGAAAGGATTGTGGTGTGGCCATTCCCCCTGGAGGGTGATTTCTTGCTTTCTGTCTGTCTTTCTGGCGAGTGCATGCACCCTATAGCAAAAACCTCTCAAAAAAAAAAAAAAAATCATGCCAGGTGTAATGATCACGTGTAATGCGTGACCAAAATCCCAAGAAAAGAATGGAGAAGGGATTGTAGCATGGCCATCCCTGCCTGGGGGTGATTTCTGTCTGTATGAGTACATGAGCCCTATGGCAAAAATCTAAAAATACAAAAACAAAATCTTTTTTTTTTTTTCTTAAAAAAAAAAAAACAAGTTAAATGATTTGGAGGAGACTATATTATCTACTTGTAATAATGAGTTTGGGTTAGAGTTTTTTTCTTTTACTAAGCATTTAGGTCAAAAGATCTCCAAAGAAAGTTTAAGATATGAATTAGGCAGGTGGCATGGTGGTTGGGGTGCTGGACTTCCACATGGCTGATTATGGTTCGAGTCTCGGACATGGCAGCTTGCTTTCTCATACTCTCTCTGGGGAAACTGAAGAATAAAAATAAATGAATACAATTAAAATAATCTAAACAATTTGAGAAGCTGGCAGGTAGCGTGCTGATTAAGGCCTCTGGACTCACACATGGCCAGCCGCAGTTTGAGTCCCAGACCTGGCGGCTTGCTTTCTCACTTTTCATCTCTCTTTCTCTCTCTCACTCAATCACTTTGTCCCTATATGGTCAAATTAAAATAAAATAAATAAAATAAAGTTAAATAAAGTAATTCCTGAAAAACTTTTTTTGAACTAAAACTTAAAAATTGGCATTTCAATAAAGCTGCAGCTTTCTATTAGGTCACTGGGAAAGTCATGACATATTTTTCTGTGTTTTCCTATGTAAAAATACATCAGGACTATCCCAATGACCCATAATAAGCACATACTATCCACTGACAACCTATTGCTTCCTCATGTAATCTTTCAGAGCTGGTTTCTAATATCTAAAAGAAAAGTATAATACTCACTCTTGAAGATCAGTAATAAGTTTTTCTTTTGCCTCAACTTCATCTCTCAAACTGCTGATTTGTTTTTGATGAGTTTCTCTGTGACTTTGAATCTGTTGTTCAACAGCTTGCTAAAATTTTGGAGGAGGGTGGGAGAGTGGGGAGAAGAATTAGACTAAAAAAAAATTAATGATATAGTAAAGCTATGATAATGCAATAAAACATCAAACTTGCCTTAACTTCATTTGCAGTCTGAACCTTATTTAAGTGCTCTTTTTCCATTTCATGGACTTTCTCTGTGTGAGTAGGGCGATAACACAGAAGAGCAAAGTCAGTTTAAGATTCCGCTATAAATCCATGAACAGATGAGGTTTATGAGAAGTGTATTTCTTAGCAGTAATTAACTTTAAGTTATCTTAAAGTAAGCCTCCAAGCTCAACGACATATTGACAGGTAGGAGAAGTCATATTTGTTATGCTGATATTATAGATTCTTTTATTTTCTCTTCCTAATCCCAAGATAGGTCAAGGGCATGGGTAGGGAAATGCGACAGCTTCTCGGTCCCCTATGCTAAGATTCTCCTCTCTCTCTCACAGACACACACACCTTGATAACTTTGTGGTAATTCCCAGATTGCCCATTTCCATAAATAAGGGGAAAAAAAACAGTGTTTACAGCCACATTACAATGTAGCAGCTGTTTATCAACCTAAGTTACTCACATCCCTACCTATATTTGGTGTGAATATAAGTTTACTACAATTATAACTAAACAATAATTAACACAGATATTAACTCATGAATAATTGGATGCCAATACCTTGTGCTCGAAGCTGGACTAGTTCTTCACTGAGGGAATCAACGGATTCCTCCAGCTGTCTTTTCTTTTGCTCCACATTTTGAAGGTATTCAGTCAATGACTTGATTTTGGCTTCATGCTTTTGGAAAAATATGAAGTGGAAAAAATCTCTCATGCACACATTTTAACTGTTATTAAGATTATTTGAAAGTAACTAAGTTCTCCTGATACATCTAAATATGGGACACATTTGAAGACATATGAATCTAAAATGTTCTGGGGCCAGATTAAAAATCTTAAAGAATTTAAGCAATTAAAGTCACTGCAGCTCATATCACTTGCGACCCAAGGAACTGAAGGCTGAAACGTGAGGTGCCCTCTCACAGCTATCTCCATCTAACGGTATGTCTTCCCTCCCTGTGCTACTCCTATCCTAGTGAATGGCCCCACTCACTCAAGTTGCCAAAGTAAAAGAAATGGGTCCCTGTAGTTCTGTCCACACTGTAATTATTCTGATCTTAAAAAGTCACATTAGTCACATCTTCCTGGTAAATTTTTATACTCAACACATATGCACGTTAAGCAAATATAACCCAGTTAAATCATTCAAGTCACACTGCAGACAGACTAGGAAAACTAACAAAAGTAACTTTTCTGTCATCCACCATAACCTACAAAAGCTCATTTTTCTTAAAAACTTTTATAATTAATAAAATTTATATGTAGCTGTTCAAAACATAAAGCAACTTAGTTCTGATCACATACCTGAGAGATACGCAGCTGGCATGCTGCTAATTCCTTTTCATTCTCCTCCATTTTTTTGTTGCTCTCAGTCTGTGTGCTTTCTAACTGTTTGCACCGTTTCACCATTGTTTTCACTTCAGACTTCATTTTGCTAATGTAGAGTCTTGCCACAGTGAACTCTTCATCTATCATGCCAGTGCCCTCAGGCTGCTATGGTAAAAAATGAAATAAAAAAAGTAAAGCCATAAGTGTTCAGTGTTTGTTTCCTCTATAAAAATTTTATAATTAAAATAATACATATTTTAGTATTGATCAATATTCATAGAAGTCTGGAAATTATTTTTTCTTTTACTACCGTTTTCAGTAAAAGGCGAATAGAGCTTATTTTCTCGCTTTCTATACCTTTTTTGTAAAAAAAAAAAAACGTTATTTTATTTCTTCCACGAGAGAGTAACAGATATACCCAACAGGATCTTGTCACTTTGTGATCTCCTAGCTAGCCTGCTAGCTAGTCAAATCCTGGGTTTACGTGCACCCAGTGTGTTTCACATCAAAACAGGTTCTAAACTAGTGGATCTAAACTCGTGCTGCAGATCCATATGCCTGCATCAGTGAGCCTGGGCTCTTTTCTACATTTTAAAATTTAAAATAATAATGCAAATATATACTTTCAAAGAAAAGGATTAATGTAAATAAGCAACTTTCAATTTTTGGATTTTCTTTTCACTAAATTCATTATTAATCATTTTCAAGTTCAATTTAAAACCTAACAAGTAAGAGGATTTTTGTTTGTTTCACCATAGGGCACATGTAAACTTGCAGGAGAGAAACAGAGAGACAGAGAGGGAAAGTGAGAAATTGCCCCTCAAGGGGGATGGTCATGCCATCCTTTTACTCCACTCTCCTCTCAGTATTTTGGGTGTACACACACACACAGACCCAGTGCGATTTTCACATGGATTGGCCACATGGGAGCCCTGAGCCTTAACTACCATGTCACCTGCTGGTCTGAAGTAAGAAGATATTTAAGTAGCAGGAGAAGATGACTTTTAAGTTCAACAAGGAGGAGCTGTGGTCACTGCATTCCTTAACTGTCATTAATTTCACTACAAAATTCCAGAACATTCGATATCAAAGTTAAGTAAAGGTTGGGACCAGCAGATGGTGTAATGGCTACGTCACTTGACTCTCCTGAAGTTGACTGTGGTTTGAGTCCCAGTCCTGGTGACTTAGGACTTATACCAGGCATGTATGTATACATGCATGCCCAAATTCCTGGGAGGAGAATGGAGCAGAAGGGATTGTGATGTGGACATGCCCCCAGGGGGATGACTTCTTGCCTTCTGTCTCTCTGGTGAGCGTGTGCACCCTATAGCAAAAACCTCTAAGTTTTAGAAGGAAGAAATAACACTTGTCTTGGTTTGCAGAAGATATGACAAAAAGGCTGGGGGGAATAAAAAATACAAAAACCCCTGGAACTAATAACTCATTATACCAAGGTTGTAGGATACAAGGTCAATATGTGAGTCAATTATTTCCTATAAATCAACAATGAATAATTAGAATTTGAAATGGAAAGCACCATGCCATGCTGTACAGAGGAAGCCAGATCTCACATGGCTGACCAGGGTTCAAGTCCTGACCATGGCTGCTTGAAAAGCATGCCAGGCCAGGTATGTGCCCACAAGCCTAGGATCCTGATGGAACGGTGAACTGGAGGGAAAATGACTGGTATAAGCAGGTCCTGCTGGGGAGTGTTTGTGCACTTGCGCACATTCTCTCTCTCATGCACAAATACACACTCTAGCATAAGAAAAACACCAGTGCCACTTATGTTAACATCAAAAAAGAAAAACCTAGACATTAGTCTAAGATAATACACGTAAGATCTATACAAAGGAACATAAAACAATGATGAAAAAATTTAATGAGGGACCAGCAGTTAGCATAATGGCTATGTTGCTGGATGCCCATGTAGTTGACCACGGTTTGTGTCCCAGACCTGGTGGCTTAAAACTCACGCCGGGCGCGTGTGTGTGCGTGCCCAAGATCCCGAGAGGAGAATGGAGGAGAAGGGACTGTGGTGTGGCCATCCCCCCTGGGGGGTGATTTCTCACTTTCTGTCTCTATGTCTCTGTCTGGCGAGCTCATGCGCCCTATAGCAAAAACCTCTCAAAAAAAAAAAAAAAGTGAATGGGAATCAAAATCACAACTAATTCTGTGGATATAGACAGGTTCTAAAATTTATATGGAGTGTCAAAAGGCCTTGAATGGCCAACACAATACTAAAACAAAGTTGGAGGACTGATACTACATAACTGTAAAGCTATTGTGTAATAATCAAGACAGTATCGAACTAACAAAAGAATAGGTCAGTGAAACAGAAGAGAAAGTTCAGGAACAGGACTATCAGATACAGCCAAAGGGGCAAAAACAATTCAATGGAGAAGAGAGTCTTTTCAACCAATGGTGCTGTGACAACTGGATATCCACATGCAAAACAATGAATACTGACACAAATCTTGTACCTTTCAGAAAAATTAACTCCAAATGTACCACACACCTAAATATAAAAATAGAAAATTAAAAATCTTTTAGAAAATTACACTGCAGAAAATCTAAGTGGCCAAGCACTTGGGCTGCTAATGAGCTTTTAAAAACAGTATCAAAAACAGAATTAACAGATCTTGTTAAAATTTAAAATGTTTGCTCTGCAAAAGAGACTGTTAAGTGAATGAAAAGACAGGCCAGAAATATTTCTGTCAGAAATATTTCAAAACACTACCTGATAATGAATTTATATTCAAAACATGCAAAGAACTTAAAAAAAAAAAAAAAACAAAAAACACAACATGAATCCATTTTTACTCATTTACATTTCATTATTTTAAATCCTTGAGGGGTACAGCATCACACGGATGCTGTGTCCAATGGTCTTAGCAGGAAGGTTACTTCAGAATTTAGCTTGAACCATGCCACTGTTTCCATGAGAACTGGTAACCTTTCCCCAGATCACTCTGGTTTTATTCGGTTTGTCACGAGTCACTGTGATGTTTTTTGCTTTGTACACGTAAGTACACCTCTTGCCTAAACAGAATTCTGTTTCATCTCATGCATTAAACACCTTCCATTTTAAGAAGAGCTGTGTGCTCCCTTTGGTTCCTGAAACCCCACTTATAGCCAGCAAAAATGGCCTTGGACCACAGGTATCCAGACATAGCTGCCTTTTAGAAGTCCTGTTCACAGCAGGCCTCCACAGGCTCCAAGATGGCGGAAAGAACAACACACAAAGCACTCTTAAAACAACAGTAAGACAACTCAACTGCAAATTAAGACAATGAGATAATGCCATATAATTGTATATCAGCTAAAATCCAAAAGGACACCCCACAATGACAAATGCTGACATGGAGCAACAGGAAGCCTCATTCATCGCTGGCAGAAATACAAGATGCTACAGCCTGTTAGGAAGACACTTCGGGAGTTTCTCACAAAGTCTTAAAACACAGTTTAGCAATCACGCTCTTAGGTGTTTTTTACCCAACTGAATTAAAAACTATGTCCACAGAAAAACACACATATAAATGTTTAGAGTAGCTTTTCTCATAATTGCTAAAAATTAGGAGTAACCAAGTACATGAATGGATGATAAACCAAGCATGATAAATTCATACAATGGAATACTATTCAGTGATAAAAGAAATTATTAAGCCACAAAAAGACATGAAAGATTCTTAAATGCATATTGCCAAGTGAAAGAAGCCAGTTTAAAAAGGCTACACACTGTATGATTCCAACTATATAACATTTTGGAAATGGCAAAACTATAGATAAAACAGTAGTGGTTGTCAGGGATTCAGGGGGTAAGAGATGAATGGATAAAGCACATAGGATTTGTTAGGGTAAGTGAAACTAGCTTAATTCTATATGATACTGTAAAACAGAGTGAACTGTAAGGTAAAACAAAACAAAGTGGAGATAAAATCTTGCTCACTGATGTTATCAGAAAAAAAAATGTATAAATGACAAAAACAAACAAAAAAACCCCCTGAGAATTCTTGTTTTGTTTTTGAGAGAGATTTTCACTATAGGGTGGCATGTGCTCACTGGAGAGAAAGAGAAAGATAGAGAAGTCACCCCCCCGGGAGATGGCAGTGCTGCAATCCCTTCTCCTCCATTTTCCCCTCGGGATTTTGGGCATGCACATACACGCATGAGTTTTATGCCGCCAGGTCTAGGACTTGAACTGCAGTCGACTGTGTGGGAGTCCAGCAAGCTGGTCCCAGTTGTTTTGTTTTTAAAGTACCTATTTGCAAGGCTGAATTAACAATGTAGGAGTCAAAGAACCTGTATTTTAATCTTTACTCTGTCACTTAACAGAAGTCATTTCTCTTTAAGATTTATTAAGATTTTTTCTTTTATAGATTTACCTTATTTATTATTATTTCTTTTAAATTTTGCTATAGGGCACATGTGCTCACCAGAGGCAGAGAGAGAAAGAGGGAAAGTAAGAAAGCAAGCTGCCAGATTCAGGACCCGACCTGATTTTAACACCTTTCTCATGTTCAGTGATAAGAAGTCAATCTACTTTTCTATCCCAGAATATTCCTACATTGTTTCTACATCTCACATTACTTCACCATTAACAAAACAGGGCAGAGGACCAGCAGTTGGCGTAATGGCTATGTCGTGGACATGTAGTCGACCACAGTGTGAGTCCCGGACCCAGTGGCTTAAACTCACGCTTGGTGCGTGTGTGCCCAAGATCCTGAGTGAAGAATGGACTGCGGTGTGGCCATCCCCTCAGGGGATGATTTCTCACTTTCTCTCTGTCTCTCTTTATCTACCTGGCAAGCGCACACACCCGATAGCAAAAACCTCTCAAAAAAAAAAAAAGAGCAAAATCGGGCAGAATGTTGTAACTAATGGTGAAGAGAGGAAGTGGAGACACTTGATATTTAACAGTAATGCTTTTCCTTTAATTCAATGAGATGAGCCAACATGAAAAAATGACATGGTAGGAGAAGGATCATGAGAATCCTTGCCTCCATCAACAAATAGCAACTTTAAAAAATACAACAAACAAAAAAATGTGCATTCTGTATATACATTTTTTTCATTTTCAAATCTTGCTAAACTAGGCTTGTTAACAGGCTCTGTCTATAAACCCAAGTATAAGTTTGTTCTCTGTGTTACTATTATTAGGCTTTAATCGAACAGGTAAAGTCCAAAACAAACAGCTACTTTAACATATCAATCTTTCATATTACATGTATGTTTCTGTAAAAGTCAAGACCTACCAGGGTCACTAAAATGTTTTATCATGTGCTTAATGTCAGCATTAACCCATATTTGTATCTTTAATGATAAGATGTTAAGGAAAAGATGATGCAAAAAAAAGGGTATAGATAAAATAAATGTGACAAAATGGGAAAAAACCCACCTAATAAACAGTACTAACACTGTACCTTTATTGAAACATTTTAAAGCAACTAAAGGCCAATTCATTTATGACTTTAATCCCTGAGCTAATCTTTGCTGTTGTTTCTTTCTAAGTATGAAATCTTTTCATACTGAAGTCAAGAATTAAACATGCTGTCCAATAAATGCTACTTACTGAATATGTCTACTGGATGCACCTTATTCTCTCCCTCTTTTACATTTAAAATTGAGTTAATACCACTTACTACACATGGCTATTGTGAAGATGAGATAATGAGTATGAACTTTATAAAAATGAGCAGTAAACAGAAGTATTATACTTTACATTTAGTTTCTATTTACCTTTACATCATTGTTCCCCACAGCAATTCCTATTTCTGCAAGGTCTTTCAGTAAAGATGCCATCATCTCAGCTGCTCTTTTTTTCTGGTGGTTGGTCATTTCCTTGAGTTTCTGAAGCTCAGCATCTATACTTGCCAAAGTTGCCTAAGAGAACCAAAACCAACAAGTGGAGTTAAAGCTATTACATGAAAACTCAGTTAAAATATTCATAGGTATTTCAAGTTTTTCAACTAGCCTTTAGAAAACATGTATTTTCTGCTTTCATTTTCTTGAACTATCTCCTGAGTTCTCAAAGAGTCCCAGGTCAAACTGAAAACCACAGTCAGCCATGTGGAAGTCTAGCGCCCTTACCCACCATGCCACCTGCCTGGCTCCCATGATGTACTTTCCTATGCAAAAACGTGTCACAACTTTTCCTATGACCCAACAGTTATATTATATCCCATTAAGAGCAGATAGTTTAGGGGCCGGCCGGTGGCATGGTGGTTAAGGTGCTGGACTCCCACGTGGCCAACCATGGTTTGAGTCCTGGACCTGGAGGCTTGCTTTCTCCTCTCCCATACTCTCTATGGTCAAATTGAATAATAATAATAAATAAAATTATATATAAAAAAAAGAGCAGATAGTTTGTATTATTTCACTAAATTCTTACTGGGTAATATTTTCCACTTAGAAATAGAAAACTTCAAAATTAACTAGACTGGTTATCATTTATTAAAACAGAATTGATAGTTTTCTAGGCAGTATGATTTGTCTAGTTTCTATATAGTTACTGAAAAAAATTTACTTGATAATTATTACTACTTCTGATACTATGATAAAAGTAATTATCTAGAAACTAATGATGAATACGAATTTAGTTACTGTAACTATAAATTTAAACACATGGTTTACGTGCTATAAATGTGGCTCACTTTAAAACTATTCACTGTATTGGATTAGATAATGCCTTTTTAAAAATACTACACTTAATCACACACATCTTTACAGTGTATAACATTTCTTTTCTCAGCACAATTACCATGCATATTGGTCAAGACATACATTAGTATACGCATCATCAGCAAATAGCTTTTCATTTTTTTCCAGATTATTATTATTATTCTTTTAAACATTTGATCACTATACATCATTTGTAAAGAGAATTTACCCAACATGAAATACTTCACAGACCAGTCCAGTTGAGAATACTACACATGTTATCATTAACAGGTAATAAACCATTTCTGTGTCCCACAAATGTCCTGTCTCTATTTTCTCTCCTGATTTCCTTCCATATAGTCTTCTCTTCTCCTAGATACTGCCTTTTTACTGCAACATACTGACTTTTAGTCAGTACCTTTTCCTAAAAATAATCTAACTGCTTGTTTCTCCTGGTAGTGGTCACTTCCTTAGGTTTCCGAGTAACAGCTGAGTGCAGTCACTCAGTTCAATACATAATAGACCTGTTGTCTCACAAATCTTATTATGTAGCATGCTTTCACCATACATGTTTACATTACTAGACATTTCCTCTAGCAGCTGAACAGTAATACTATTTAAGCAGGTAAAAAGATACTATTAACTAGGAGTTTCTAACTCATGTTACCAATGTAGTACTGGTAAGATTTCAGGTCTACAAATGGGACAAAACAATTGTCCAAAAGACAAAAATCAATGGTCAAGGACTGACTTAAGGAGTTTTAAGAAACTTTTTTCTTTTTGTTGGGAGAGGTTTTTGCTATAGGGCACGTGAGCTCATAAGACAGACAGAGACAGAAAGTGAGAAATCACCCCCCAGGGGGGATGGCCACACCATAATCCCTTCTCCTGGGTCTTGGGCATGCATGCACACACGCCCAGCATGAGTTTTACATGGGAGTCCAGCGACATAGCCATTACACCAACTGCTGGTTCCAAAACTTTTGTTTTTCTAAACAGCAAATAGGTTTGCTAATAATACAACTCTGTAAGAGTTATAATGGGTTCTTAGATCTCCATGACACTAAATACACCTTTTTAAGAAGTATTTTTGCTATAGTGTCCATGTACTTGCGAGAGACAGAAAGTGAGGAATCATCCCCTTGGGAGGATGGCCATATGTTGTAATCCAATCTCCACTTGAGATTTTTGAGCATACACATACATGCATCTGGTATGAGTTTTAAGTCAGTGGGTCTGGGACTGGAATCACAGTTGACTACATGGGAGTCTAGCGATGTAATCATTACGCCATCTGCTGGTCCCTCTATGACAATAAATTAGAACTTCAAGCTAATAGCAACTTTGGAGACTGAAAGGAAAAATGAACTCACCAGGGACAGAAAACCATTAAAAAGTGATTCTTTCATAGTGCTGACTGCTTTCCTTCAGAAAAATGAACATACAGAAGTAAGTGGTGGGCATTAAGCCTGTGTGCAACCCTAGGTGCTGATTTAATCAGAAGTCAGCATTAACAACGTAACCTTGGGGCTGGCAGGTGTCATGGTGGTTAAGAGCGCTGAACTCCCACATGGCTGACTATGGTTCAAGTCCTGGACCTGGTGGCTTGCTTTCTCATTTTCTTCCTCTGTCTCTGTCTTTCTCTTGCTCCGTCCCTCTCAGGTTGAATTAAAAAATGAATAAATAATAAAGTTAAATAGAATAATTCTTTAAAAAACAAACAACACAACCTTAAGGTAGCCCCTCCATGGTGACGTTCAATCATACCTACTGCTGGCCTTCTGCATCTGTAAATTCCACCAATCCAAATCAAAAATATTCAGGAAAAAAAAATGGACTGCATCTATACTGATCAAATACAGACTTTTAAATCTTGTCATTATTCTCTTAAGTATACAGTGTAACAATTACTTAGATAGCATTTACAATGTCTTAGGTATTACAAGTAACCCAGAAATAAAGTATATGGGAAAATGTGCATAGGTTCTAGGCAAATACTATGCATTTTATACAAGAGTCTTTCTTAAACATCGGTTAACTCTGATATCTGCAGGTGTGCTAGAACCAGTATGCCATTGGTAATCTTGGGACAACTGTACATACTACTTCTGGCATCACTTTCAGAGACTGACAATCCTTGCCAGATAGCATAAACAAGTAATACAGCTGATCTGTTGAGGAACCACAAGGAAGGTCCTACTACATTATGTGAGGAAGGCCCGGTCACAGCTAGTAAGAATATAACAGTGAATAAAATATTACATGAATTATTCCAAATAATTACTTAGTTGATCTTTCTTTTTGTGGGCATCTCTTTTAATTTATAGTTTCAGCAATCATCTAGTAGCTTTACTGAGCAATTAGAAGCTAACCTTCCCTTGCTTTAACATTAGGAGTAGCTAATGTCTTTTAAATTACATATGAATAGACTTTTAGGAACTAGAAAGACAGCTATCTCTTTCTACATCTAAGGCTTAATATATAGGAGGAATTAAAGTTTGGACTTAAGACCTTTGAGAATTAACACTATCAATCGGGCTAATACAGAAATAAGTTATGTAAGTAATTTTAAATTAAAAATACTTGTTACTAAAACATTAAAAAAGAAACTAAACTGTATCCTACCGATTTCTGATTTAGTTCATCACTAAGCAATTCATATTCCTTAGTTTTGTCTTCTACTTCCTGAGACTTCTGATCATAATTGACAGCAAGTTCTTCTAAGGCCTGTAAAACTTCTTTTACTTCTTCTTTAGAGGCATCATTTTCTGCCTGAAGGCGATTCAGCTCAGCTTGCATATTGTCTTGATCCCTTCTGGTGGATGCCAGAAGCTATATACGTGAAAGAGTAAAATATTTATTTTCATCGAAAGTATACAGATTTAGAAAAACATCTAATTGCTTCACCATTTGCAAAGCACGATCAATGAGAGGGATGCTCTGTGTGACAATATTTACTCATTTACCATATTTATTAAATGTTATGTGCAGGCACTGTACTAGACACTGAAGGAGATAGGAAGTCAAATAAAGAACCAACTAGAAGAGACAAGTATGTAAATAAACACAATGCAAGATAGAACATAAGAGCCATAATAGAGGAAGAGAACAGAGAAAGTGCTTGATACTATATAGCAAAGGATAATTTTGGGGAGGTATTCACAGAGAAATTGGCTCAAATAGATTTTACTCTTGTGTAAATTAATGTTATAGAAAAAAGCATACCAGACCCCATGTCTAGTGTGCACAGAAACAAAAATTTTATGTTTAGAAGGGTTAAAACTTTGTATTTGCTTTAGGGAACAAAAAGGTGGCATCTTTTCTGTGCCTCAGTGAAACTGAATCAGCATACAAAATTTGAACTGGAGGATTCTCTCTTTAGTTTAAATTATAATACACTATAAAGCTTTGTTGAAAACAATTATGAAAGGTATTCAACTCACCTCTTCCTGATCCAGCATCTGTGTCTTAAGTTTCTCTACAAGTTGACTCTGCTGGTTAATTTCTTCATCCTAGAATTTAACAAAGTAGACATTAAACTTGTTTCTAATCATTTCCCAACACAAACATTAATATTGCTACACTCCCCAAAATGTTTCAAATTTCTCCAAATTAAATGGTTCATTTTAACCTCTTAAGAATATGTTAAATATGGGACCAACAGGTGGCATAGTAGTTAAGGCGCTGGTCTCTCACTTGGGTGACTGTGGTTTGAGTCCTGGACCTAGCGGCTTGCTTGCTCTCGCTCTCTCTCTCATGAATTAAAATAACAACAATGAATAAATAAAATAAAATTATTCTTTTAAAAAAAGAGTATGTTGAAACGAAAGTAATCTTTCACTTATATTTATCATGCAACAAGGAAAAAGTCATGTATGCAAGCCATTTATTAAATACTTTCAATTGGGACCAGCAGTTGGTGGAATGGCTATGTTGCTGGACTCCCATGTAGTCAACCGTGGTTTGAGTCCTGGATCCGGTGGGTTAAACTCATGCCAGGTGCGTGTTGCGTGTGCCCAAGATCCCAAAAGGAGAATGGAAAAAAGGGATTGTGGTGGAGCCATCCCCCAATGGGAGGAGGGGGGGTGATTTCTAGCTTTCTGTCTCTCGGTCTCTCTCTTTCTGGTGATTGCACATACCCTATAGCAAAACACCTCTCCCAAAAAAACTACAGTAAAAAAATACTTTCAATTTTACATTGGGTCATTTAATTTTTTTTAAGAATTATTTAATTTTTAAAAAAATTTATTCATTCATTTATTTAAATTTGACCAGAGAGAGACATAGAGAAAGACCCAAAGGAAGATGAGAAAGCAAGCCACCAGGTCCGGGACTTGAACCATGTTTGGCCATGTGGGAGTTGTCAGTGTCCTAACCACCATGCCACCTGCTGGCCCTAGTCATTTCATTCTTAATGAAATGATCCTTAGAATCAGGAACCTGAGGTACTACTGAAAGATGGTATGAAAGAATGGAGGGATTAGAGTAGAAATAGTTATCTTCCTGCTTTGCAGGTTATCTATATAAAAATGCAAAGAACAAATTATGAACTTAATACAAAGGAAGGCAAGAATAAGAGCAGTAAAGATGAGACGAAAATAACAGGATTTTTAAAAAAAGCTTGTTTGCTTCCTACAGGGTGCATATACTTGCCAGAAAGAGGGAAAATCACCCTGAGGGGATGGTCATGTTTCAATCCATTCTTCTCCTGGGATTTTTAGTATGCACACAGATGTGTTCAGCGTGTTTCTCAAGACACTGGGTCCAGGTTTCACACTGTGCAATCAGCCATGTGGGATCCAGCTGCATTAACTTCTTCCACCTATAGGCCCCCTCTTCAATTCTTTTTCATGATTTTTATTTGATTTCTCATTCTGATCTTTAATTTTTCCCTGATTTCATTGAGTTATCTGTCAATATTTTTACTAATATTCTAAAACAAAACAGATCTGAAACAAAGAGTACTTACTTTGTCATCGAGTTGTTTGTATAATTTAGCAATTTCTTCTTCACACTTTCTTCTTTCAGCATCAGTGAAATTTCCAGTAACTCCAATTGTGGCTGCTGGCTTATCATTGGTAATAGTAACATCCTTATCTACTGTGAAAGCTTCCAAGTTGGCTTTCTCTTTGTCAAACTGTTCATCAATAGGCACTGTCTCCCCTAAAAGAATAGAAATAGTTACAATCTGTCTTTGAGTTCACAGTCGCATCTACCCAATTCTGCTGTTGATTTCCTCTACCGCATTTTTCACTTCATTCACTGTATTTTTCAGCTACACGATTTCCATCTGACCTCAAAAAATTATTTCAATCTTATATTCCTTAAAACAGTTACTCTGAAATCTTTATCAGGCAGTTCAAACATTTCTATTTCTTTAGGGTATGTTACTGGCATCTTATTTTGTCCCTTTGATGTCATACTTCCTTGACAGTTCTTGATGTTTGTGCATCCAAAGCAGCTACTTACTCCAGTCTTTGCAGAATGGCTCTGTCTGGGAAAGCTCTTCAACCCACCTAGTGACTCTAGGCAGGCTTCTGGAGTGTTCCAAAGCCTGAAGTCCCTGTGGCAGTACAGAGCTGGGGCAAACCAGAACACTGGGGCCGCTGAGACTTGCCTGCCAGTAAGGACTCTGGACCATGGGGTTGCAGGATTCCACCTACTGCTGGAGCAGGTCTGGAGGCTTAGTTCTCAGGTACCAGGTGATAGCAGTCTGCCTAGTACTAGGTTTTACTGTGGTGGGTCAACTAATGGAGTCCAAGGTTGGAAGCAGAGTGAAGCAGGTAATATAAAACTGTCTAACCTCTTCAATTTGTTTTTCTTATTGTTACTAAAGGTACTGTGATTTGTCTGTCATCTACTTAGTATCCTTAGTTCTTGGGAGGATATTTTCAAATGTGGGTAATTGTTCAGATTGATGTTTCTGTGGAGGCTAATATTCGGGAATCCTATTCTGCTATCTTGCTCCAGTCCCCTCTCTTTTATTTAATTTCAGCAGTTCTTACCAACTTTCCAATTTGCTTGATCCCTGAGATTTAAACAGTTGGAAATATTTTGGTCCCCACCCCAACCTCTTAAAATCTAGTCATCAAATCTTATCCTTTTACTGTTTCCACCCTAAGCTAGGCACCTTGCCATCTTGTGACATTTCCTAAGTTACCTCTTTGCCACTACATTTATTATTTCAGGTAATAATCAAAATGTAATGTAAAATGAACCGTTTTGATAATCGTTAAATGTATAAAAAGTAGAAATGGATATGCTTTGTTACTCCCATTTACATTCATATCACAATCTTGAATTTATAAAATACACTAAATCTGTATTCAACAAACTTAAGATGACAGATTCTTAAGTCATTACCATTACGCCATCGGTTGAGTTCATTTTCAAGCCACTGAATGGTGTTGCGCAGCGTCTTATTCTTTTCTTTTTCTTTCTCATACTTCTTTTTCCATTGCTCTGCAGTTAACTCTACATTGACACAAACTGTGTTCTTAATTGTTTTGGCCCTAAGAAATGTAATTGTATAAAGAAAAAATATGTGACAAATTACTTTAATTGACATCATCTTTTTTTTAACACCTTAATTTACATCTTCTTTGTCATAAATGTATACATGGTTAAGTGGTTAAGTAATTCTAACTATTCTTGTTCAGTTTCTCCTTAGACTAAATATTAAAAGCTAACAATACAGTGCTAGTCACAACCCACTACATGAGTCAGCCTCAAAATCTGTCAAGTTATTTTCCCTCCACTCAAGTTTTTATCATAGGGCATATATGCTCACTGGAGAATAGAAACAGAGATATACAGAGGGAAAGTGAGCAATCCCCCCACCTCCACCTCCTCTGCCAAGGAAGACAGACAAGCCACCAGGTCCAGGACTCGAACCATAGTCAACCATGTAGCAGTCCAGCATCTTAACCACCACGTTACTTACTGATTCCAAGTTTTTTTTTTTTTTTTTTTTAAGGATTTTGCACAGAGTATGTGTGCTTGCTAGAAAGAGAGGGAGAGACAGTGAAAGGGAAAGTGAGAAATCATCCCCAGGGGGATGGCCACACTGTAATCCTCTCTACTGTACTCTTCTCCTGGGATTTTGGGCACACACATACACATGCCTGGTGTGACTTTCAAGCTGCTTGGTCCAGGACTCCAACCACGGTTGGTCATATGGAAATCCAGGATCTTAACTACTATTTACTGGCCCCCAGTTTTTGTTTCTTTTTTTTCCTTTTTTTTTTTTTAAAAAAAAAAAAACCTATTGAAAAAAACAAGGGCCTACATTTCTCTAATTCATTTGCAAGTCTTAAAGAAATTACTGTTGAAAGTCAAAAATAAAGTTACTAGTATTGATTATCTCAGAGCAACCATTTCATATAGATCATTTGAACCTGTCATGTGTGTCAAGAGACTTAATAAAGGATTGTATCTGTCAAGGTTTTACTTAATTTAAAATACCTATTTTCTTTAATCCTCAATTAAAGCCTGTCATATAAATCTGGCTAAAATTGTTCAAATTTGACTTTATAAATTATTTAATTTTATTTATTATTATTTAAGTTGCTATAGGACATGCATACTCACCAGAGAGAGAGAGAGAGAGAGAGAGAGAGAGAGAGAAACAAGCTACCAAGCCCAGGACTCGAATCGTGGTCAGTCATGTGTGAGTCCAGCACCTTAGCCACCATCCCATCTGCTGACCCTCAACATTCGACTTTTTTTTTTTTTTAAGAATTATTTTTGGGCCAGCAGATGGGGTATAGTGGTTGAGGTACTTGACTCCCACATAGCTGACCATGGTTCGAGTTCAAACCTGGCGGTTTGCTTTTTTACTTTCTCTGTGTTGTTTTTTGGTGAGTGTGTGTGTCCTATAGCAAAATTTAAAACTAAGCAAATAAGAATTATTTATTCATTTTTTAAATTACTTTCTAAAAATTTGCTATAGGGCACATGTGCTCACCAGAGGGAGACTGGGATAGGGGAAGGATGAAAAAGCAAGCTGCCACCGCCAGGTTCAGGACTTGAACCATGGTTGGCCATGTAGGAGTCCAGTGCCCTAACCACCATGTCACTTGCTGGTCCCCTCAGATTTGACTTTAATGTGCATTAAAACTTAGCTCAAACCCAACTGGCCTAAAAAAAAAGGGACCTAATCTATATTACCTATCTCTCAATTAGAAAGGAATGTGTGTGCCAGTCCATGGCCCATTGGTTAAGGCTGCTGGATTCCATATGGATGCCCATGTGGTTTGGGTCCTAAACCCAGTAGCTTATGCCCAAAACCCCAATAGGAGGCAGAAACAGTGAAGGAATTATGGGATGACTATGTCCTGTGGGGGAGTGCTTTCTCTTTCTCCCCATGGGGGGTGCCTTTCTCCCTCTCCCTCCCTCTGGTGAGCACATGTGCCCTCTGGCAACATTTAAAAAAAATAATTAAAAAATAAGTGTGTTTAGCACACTAATAATATGCATTGAAGTGAAAAAATAGTTACCTGATATTTTCCTAGATTTAACAAAAGAAAGGCTATATTTAGGCTTTATAGTTTAACAAACCTTTGACCAAATAGGAGTGTAGATTTTGTTTCAGATTCATTGTATGATGATGGAGAGCAGCAAATTACAATAGTAGTTCTACAGTTGCCACCTAATGAATCTTGAAGGATTCTTGTCATTTTACTATCTCGATATGGAACGTATGTCTGTATATAAAAAGAAAGACCAATGTGTTTCCATTTAATAAAATGTTATATAAACATGCAACTATAAATAAATCACAAAGTTACTTGACTTATATATCTATATACAAAAAATTCCCTTTAACAGTAAACAGAAGAAACATATACTTACACTGCCCTCAGCTAAAGCAGAAATGACATTTCCAAGAGCAGAAAGTGACTTGTTGATGTTCTTAGCTTCATCCAGCACAGCACCTTCAGCTCCAGTTTTACTAACCTATACATAAGATTTCAAAAGAGTAAAGCAAAATTATAATTTAAGATGATTTTCTTTGAATGTTCTAAAAAGTTTATTAAAGCTGTCAATAGCCAACAAAAAAGAATAAGAAAGCTTCATAATATTATAGGCTAAGCATGTACCCCAAGGCATCACTTTCGAGTACTATTCTTTTTTTTCCCCCCTTTTTTTTGGAGAGCTTTTTGCTATAGGGCGCATGTGCTTGCCAGAAAAAGACAGAGAGACAGAAAGCGAGAAATCACCCCCCAGAGGGGATGACCACGCCGCAATCCCTTCTCCTCTCAGGATCATGGGCACGCACGCATACGCACTTGGTGTGAGTTTAAGCCACTGGGTCCAGGACTCGAACCGCGGTCGACTACATGGGAGTCCAGCGACATAGCCATTACACTAACTGCTGGCCCCATTATTGAACAGAGTACTATTCTTCTGAGAACTTGGTCAAGTAACTAGCTGCATGACAAGAATGTGACTGAAGAGACATTAAATTCTATTTTTTTGTGTGTGTTCTTGAAAATTTATATGTAGGGACCAGTAAGCAGAAACCAAGTTTAAACATGTTATATAAGCAAACTTGCTTCTTTTTAAAAATGTCAAATGTTGGGGCCACTAGGTGTCATGGTGGTTAAAAGCAGCTGGACTCCCATATGGCTGATCATGGTTTGGGTCCCAGACCCAGTGGCTTGAAATCACAGTGAGTACATGTATGTGCATGCCCAAAATACTGAGAGGAGAATAGAGAAGGGACTGTTGTATGGTCATCCCCATTGGCGGGTTATTTCTTACTTTCCCCCTTCTCTCTGATGAGACAGAGGGAAAAAAAAAAAAAAGAGTCTAAATATCTATGTTTAAAATTTAGAGTAACCACAAAACTACTGGCAGAAAACAGGGGAAATTTCTGAAGACACTGGTGTAGGGTAAGTTCTTAAATAAGGTCCCTGAAACACAGGCAATGGACCCTAAAAAAGAAAAGTGGGATTACATCAAGCTGAGGAAAGGAAAGGAAAGGAAACTATAAAATGTAAAAACAAACCTCAGAATGGGAGAAAGTATTTGTAAATTATTCCTCAGCTAAGGGATTGGTATTTAGAATATATAGAGAACTTAAGTGGCTCACCCATAACAAAATAAATAATCCAATTAAAAATAGTTAAATGGGGACCAGCAGATGGTGCAATGATTACGTCATTGGACCCCTACACAGTTATCATGGTTTGAGTCCCAAACCCGGTGGCTTAAAACTCAAGCCAGGTGCATGTGCATACATGTCCAAAATCCTGAGAGGAAAAAGGAGAAGGGATGGTGGTCTGGCCACCCCCTTGGAGGTGATTTCTTGCTTTCTGTCTCTCTGGAGAGCACAAGTGCCCTACAGCAAAAATCTCTCTTTAAAAAAAAAAGAAAAAGGAAAAAGAAAGATACATATGAAGGGATGGCCCTAAAACACAGTGGTTATAACTGCTGTGCATTGGGAATCAAATCCCACATGGCCGACCATAGCTCAAATCCCGGTTCCAGCGATTTGAAAAAGATGCTAAGTATGAGTGCCTGCATGCCAAAAATCCTCACTGAGAAACGATGGAAAAAGGATTGCAGTGTGACTACAGCCCTTTGGGGAGTATTTTTACTCTCCTTTTCTTTTCTACGCACACCCTCTGGCAATTTAAAAAAAGAAAGAAAAGAAAGACTTGAAGAAAATGTCTTCGTGTAAGAGAATAGGCATGTCAGTCATTCCAATAAGGACAAAAGCATCACAGAGGTCTGTATTAAAACAGCTGAATTTATTTTGATTTTGATATAAACTAGACTCAAACTATGTGGGACTGGAGTAAAGAAATCATCATCCAAAAGAATAAAATAAGAACAATCAAACCAGTAAAGACTAGTAGATAGCTACCAGTTTTAACAGGGAGTTCACTGCCAATATATATTAAAACAAACAAACAAAAAAACCCCAAAACTTGGGTTAGGAATACCTAATAAAATTTATAACAACAGACGATGAATAAGTTCTCAGCGAATACATGCACCTTAAGTCAAAAGTACCACCTATTGATTGAGTTGAACTATGGTAAAATGATAGTAATTTGGAATTGATTTGGTTTACATAATTACAAGCTGCTTAGCATTATCATTACAATGCTCAAATTATCAAATCCAATTCAGTAAATTTTTAAGATGCAACAATGAATACTGCGTAAGTCTCAATTTAAGTTAAAGTTCATAAAAATGCTTAAATATCGGTCAAAATACATACTTTACCTTTTCGCTACCAGCTAAATCAACCAGATAAAGTTTTCCACTCAGCTTCTGTTCTGTTTGTGTGTTCTCTTGCTTTACATTAATAAGAAATATACTGTGACTCCTAGAGCTATGTTCATTCATATCTGTAATGAAATACACAAATAACTATAAATAAATATGACTTTCTTTTATTAATAATCTCCCGAATGCATTAATTTACATAAGAAAAATCTTATAATTAATCACTGGATGAGAGTATTTTAAGGTCAGCTTGCATCCTAGCCAGTGTTAAAAAATACTCTACTTAGGGGGATCAGCAGTTAGCGTAATGGCTATGTCGCTGGACTCCCATGTAGTCAACTGCAGTTCACGTCCCGGACCCGGTGGCTTAAAACTCACGCCAGGCGCGTGTGCATGCATGTACAAGATCCCGAGAGGAGAATGGGGCGTGTGTGCATGCGTGCCCAAGATCCCGAGAGGAGAATGGAGGAGATGGCGTAGCCATCCTCCCCCCAGGGGGGTGATTTCTCTCTCTCTCTCTCTCTGGTCAAATTGAAGAACAATAAAATATGTAAATAAATAAATAAATGTATTAAATAAAAATACTCTACTTACTTGTAACTGCTACATGTCTATTGGATTTTCCTTCATCTATGGTATCCATAACTTCATCTGGACTACATACAAAACGTTCTGTGCATCCCTGTGAAAAATTATTTAAAGTATGTCAATAAACTTTACAAAACTCATTAAAGAGTTGTTTTAAACATTCATTCTATTTTATTTTATGAGTACCTTTACGTAGGGAACTCGGTTTTTGTCTTCATGAACTGAAAGATTGGTCTTTGAAACTAAAAATTAAAATAAATAATATTAGTAACATTCTAAACTCTAACACTGGCTGTGAAACAACTAATTAACAGGCTTTTCCGAGCAGCCTAATAGATGAATTAAAAAAAAAAAGGTACGATAAGAATATAACTATTGGGACCAGCAGATGGCATAGCAGTTATGCCACTGGACTCTGGCTACTCCCACAGAGCCAACTGCAGTTTGAGTCCCAGACTTGATGTCTTGGAAATCAACCAGGTGCATGTGTGTGTGTGCCTAAGATTCCAGGAGAAGGGATTGTGGCATGGCCATCTGCCCTGTGAGAGTGATTTCTCACTTTCCCTTTCACCTCTCTCTCTGGTGAGCATACGTGCCCTAAAATTACATGCCTTTATAGACAGACATAGTAGGATATTTAAACGGAAACCCATGAAACAACATAGAATTTTAGGTCCGGTCCAATCCAATCTTTATCACCCACAATTTGTAAAGAATAATAATCTTGATTGGTTCAGTGGTTTGCCCAAGGACAATATATCTAATTGACAACTGACAGACGACTAGAACTTGGGCTCAGGTTCTCTAATTCCAAGTCTAATTCTCAAACTACTACTTGAGAAGCAACCATAAATATGAGGAGCCTTCAAAAAGCTCATAGAAAATGCATATTATGGAAAAACTATGTGGAGTTAAAAATATCGCAAAAAATAAACTTTTACTTTAATCTATTTTTTCCATGGATATTCTGAAGCCCCCTCATATAGTTTAAACAGTTATTCTGTATATCAAAAGGCAGTGAGTTAAACTTTATGGGAAAAAATTTTAAATGTCCAGTTTTAAATTTAAGTCTATTTCATATGGGTTACAAAGAAATGGTCTCCCATGTACTATTAAAAGAAGAAATAAAGATGTTATTTAAAAACGATCAAAGAGTGAGAATTTAACTTACCATCTAATAGGTCCCTTATCTTATCCAAATATATTTCAAAATATGAAACCTAAAGGATAAATAAAAATGGAAAAATAATCAACCAATTAAAAATGATAATTACCTTATTCATTTACTCATTAATATTTATTAAGGTCTCAGTGCTATGTACTATATAAATTAGGGAGACAGTTATTGACAAATCAGCCATTGCTCACATTCTAATGGGCAGATCAATTGGCTAAACTGCTGAAATAACTAGGATTAAAAGCAATTTCCATGAAATATTTTTATCTAAAATGAATCAGACTAATTACAATAACAGAAATCTTGGAGTTCTGTAGTAAAACAAACTGTTTTATGGAAAAGAGGCTAAGGATGAGAGATTTAGCTAGCTAATTTACTTAAGGTTATCTAACAGCAGATGAGAATCTAAGTTTACTAACCATAATGATTTCTCAACTATGCCTATCCATAAAATAAGTTTAAAAATTCCTTTAAGAAATAAACTAGCATCGGGACCAGCAGTTAACGTAATGGCTATGTCGCTGGACTCCCATGTAGTCGACCATGGTTTGCGTACCAGACCCAGTGGCTTAAAACTCATGCCGGGCATGTGTGCGTGCGTGCCCAAGATCCCGAGAGGAGAACGGAGGAGAAGGGACTGCAGTGTGGCCATCCCCCCTGGGGGGTGATTTCTTGTTTTCTGTCTCTCTGTCTGTCTGTCTGGCAAGCGTACGCGCCCTATAGCAAAAACCTCTCCAAAAAAAAAATTATTTTATTTGGGGTGCCAGGAGTTAGCATAATGGCTATGTCGCTGGACTCCCACATATTTGACTATGGTTCGAGTCCTAGACCCAGAGAATTA